GCTTGAGATGGGTTCCTTCGGGAGCTCAGATCGCGGACTCATTAACAAAAATCATGGACAACACGATCCTAAGAGAGGTACTTCGAATTGGAAAGTATAAGTTCCAAGATGAATCCGAACTTCTCAAACAAAGAGCCGACACTAGAACCAGACTGAAATGGCTCAGATCGAATGCACAGATCTTCGATGATGGAAAAGCCAAGTCGTCCACATCGAAGTGAGAGCTGCCAAGGCTTTTTTCGAGAGGGGCACTCTGGAGTGAGTGTACTGCAAGGACTTGAGAAAGTGCATAGTGTAACTATGACTAATGGGGAAAGTCTTTTTGCAAGAAGCAAGCCTTGAGGTAAAATATCACCCGCCTTAATTCATAAAAGCCAGATGCCTTTTGTGTTCGTGCATGTTTTTGCCATCCAACCAAACCTTGAGAATCCGCACGCGGTCAACATGCTGAGACCACTTAAAGAAAATAAGTGGTATGTCGAAATGAACCAGGTCGCATGTTGCCCTTTTCGATCTTGCCGATGTTCCGCTGTCGCATCTCTCGAGCGAGGGCGGGTGTGGCGAGGATTCGCTTGTGCCATGGTCTGAGGAAAAGGCTGCGAGGAGAACCTTGGGCCCTTTTGGATAAGGGCAACCGGATTTCGTTGGGTGTGGACACCTGGTACTTTGTGGTGTGGTCACCATTGGTTGTTGGATTGCATTGTTTTCCATTGGAGTGGTCTCCAACCAGTTTTGTTGCAACCTCGAGGGCGAGGAAGCTACCAATCCTTTTGTGACTGGATGTACTTATATAACTTTTGTGCCACAAAAGGTTCATATATAGACCTTGACAAAGCCAGCGTTCGAGAGATGCTGCCATCTCACACCAGCTTTCTTGTTTCAAGTGGTTTGAATTTGATGAGTCGGTTTGAATCTGAACAGGGTTGAACTTTAGATTCAGATTGTTTGCAACTGTACCTGCCAGGTGCGGGCTTTCTTCTGGAACGACGGCTCGGTCACGAAGCGAGTGCCCGAAGATGTGCCTCGGTGAGGAAAGCTACGAGAACGCTTTTGGAACGATCCCGTTGAGGAAAGCGTTGCTTTTGGGAGCAAGGACGCTAGTAGGAACAAGTGCATCGCTTCTAGTAACAGGTGCCTTACTAGTAGTAACAAGTGCCACGCTACTAGGAGCAAGGACGCTACTAGGGGCTCCTGGCATCGCTACCAGGAGCAGGGACGCTACTATGGCGTCCTTTCGACATTTCTTTCCTGGTAGCCTCGCTTTGTGTTGGGAGCAAGAATGCTTTCAGCAACGGTGTGCTGTCTTCAACCAACTCAGCAACACCACCCACTGGTCACATTGTCGTTCTTTCCAATGCGCATCTTTGTCGTTTATGTGATTCTCCCAACGATCTAGGAGCCCTGGCTCTGCGTTCTTGCATGTAGTAATTGTAGTAGCTTCCTTGCTACTGCTAGCTAGCTGCTGGTCTTCTATGACCCTCTCCTGACTCTCATACCACAAACACTTTAAAAACACACAGAAAAGAACAACAAAGGCTAAAGACAAGCACATGGAAACGTCGGAAACGTCGGACACATGGAAAACACATGACGTCAAGAGAACTCCAAGAGTCGAAGAAACTGTCGCCTCATGCCTCAGGTCGTGCCACAGAAACGTGAGCAGATGATTCGAGAGGATTGCATGACAGAGGTGCAAAGTCGGCACATTCCAATTGTTTACTTGGCCGTGTTCTCCCCCAGGACGCCCTTGGTTTTCAAACGTTTTCGGATTTTTATCCCGCTGTGCCAGCTTCGAGCTTGCGCAAAGTAGGGGATCAAGACACCAGGAGAGATGAGGCTCAGTTGAATGGGTCACTACACACCTCATGGCAAAGATAGGTACTCTGCAGTCAAACTGTTTGAAGCTTTGGCGTTTGAAGCATCAAGGGCTCTCAATTGCGAGCATATCGCACGCTCACAGGTGCCCTACTTTATTTGCATTGATTTGCTCTTCCATGATCCTGTGGTCGACCCGTTCGGGCTCCTTGTTCTTGTAAGAAGGCATTGCTTTTGGAGTTTTATGCCTAAAGTTCCCAGGGCTGGGCCAAGAAAGTAATCGCCAGGTTTTATGCATTTGAGATCGAGTGGAGCACCCCTATGGCTGAAGATCTGGAAGAGAAGCTCTCAACCTCCATCGAGATCATGCTGTACCATCAAAACGACACTGATACTTGGGACTTGAGAGACTTGAGACCAAAGCATTGCACCTGGTCTTGCGTCTTTCAGACCTCTAAAGCGTTTTGCTTCGCTTGAGAGAAATGGCTATGAGGAGCAAGGACGCTACTAGGGGCTCCTGGCATCGCTACTAGGAGCAAGAACGCTACTAGGAGCAAAGGGCATCGCTACTAGGAGCAAGGACGCTACTATTTGTCGGACCTGGATTGACATCCATTTAGAGCCAACCGCTAGAGCCACGCCACTGCCAAGGACTACTGGGGTTGGTGGCCCATCCAACAGGGCTGTTTGCTAAGCAGTGGTTTGAACATCCAAGGTGCAAATGGGCATCAAGATGATCAAGGGGTATGTGTTTACATTTTTTAAGCGTATGTTTTCACGGATCCACGCAAATTTCTTGATCCATTCGCCCACTCGCTGATTTTTGCAAGATGCTATTCCTCCATTGTTTCGCCCGTGTGCTGATTTCTCTCTTTTTCAGCATGATTCTTGATTCAATACAAACACTTTGCGATCTTTACCATTCGAACACTTGGACCCAACTAGGAGCAAGGACGCTACTATTCGGCAGCTCAGTGGACTTTTTTGCCTGCGCAGGCAGTCCCTTCGAAGACTTTCAGGCGATCAGCGGCTCTGCACGTGCGGAGTTCTCCACGGTTCTGGCAATGCCAGACTCAACCACCGAGATGACCGTGATTGTGGACACTTTAGCAGAGGCGAGAAGCTTGAGAAAACACTGCTCAACACATGGAATACAGCATGGAATGCGGGAAGCTGGAGCTTCTGCTTCCTTTCAAGACAATTCAGTCTAAAATTCATCCATCCAGTTGTACAATCCTCTTGAACTCCACCTTCCTTCTCTCCTCTATAGTGTTTCCAAGTGGCTGAATAGCAGAACAAAGTCGTATTCAGAAACTGCGCTGCATTCAGAAACTAGTCTTCAGAAACTATTGTCGTTGTATTCTGTAAAGTTATAAACTTTGATGGATACTTGCATGGACAGTTGACGTGTTGTCTAGGATAAAGGGGTGGGGTAGGGGGGTAGTTCATGTGTTCTCCAGTTTCCACATACAACTGTTTAGTTTCCGAATACCAGTACTAGCACTCCGAAAATACTAAATGATGTGTGATGACAGATTGCTAAGCTGGTTCGGGAGCGTTGTTTTGCTTCGCGACCCCGCAGGAGAAAAAGGTAAAACAAAAAAATAATCAATTTTTACTGTTTTTACCGCGGATATGGTAGAGAAAAAGGGGCGCCCCCCCCGGTAAAATCGGTAAAAACAGAAACTGTTCGATTTTTACCGTTTTTACCGCGGATATGCCATTTAAAAGTAAACATGGAGCGCTCCCAGTCAAAAATTTTTAAAACAATCACAATTTTTACCGTTTTTGCTACGGAGATGGTAGAAAAGAAAAGGACAAGTCCACTCCACCTACACAAACGGAAATAACACAACTCTGATTTTTAATGATCTGGTAGAAGCAAAAAGAGCAAGCGACTCTTCATTAAAAAAGGTAAGCAACAAAAGTAGTAATTTTCACTTTGGACCGTTTTTACCGCGACAATGCCTCGGGACCAGGTCGCAAGCTAGAAGACCTCTGTCAACAAAAAGGTTTAATGTTACAGCCCGGGTATCTTCCTATAATCAGGTGGGGTTCACTCCTCCTATCATATAGGAGCGTGTGCCCTTTTCGACAAGAGGAGTTTGGTGATTGATCAAAATTTCATGACTTTTAACTTTTGCAGGGCAATGAAAGACTACATCACTTGGATCGAAAACTTTCGATTTTTACCTACCGCGGATATGGCAGAAGAAACAGCGGTGACCCTCCGTTAAAAAGTGAAAAAAACACAGACCCGTTTGCCCCCCTCAATCAAAACGGTACAAAAAGAACAAACATTGATTTTACCGTTTTGATCGCGGATATGGTATTGAAAAAGGAAGCGCCCCCTGGTAAAAATGGTAAAAAAAGAATCGATTTTTGCCGTTATTACCGCGGATATGGCAAAAGAAAAAGGGCCGTACCCCGAATGTGGTAGAAGAAAAAGGAGCGCCCCCCGGTAAACACAGTAGAAAAAGTGTTTTTTCTTTTTTTTAAACTGCGGATATGCTGAAAAAAAGGGGTGTCCCTCCGGTAAACATACCGTTTTTACCGCGGATATGGTAGACGAAAAAGTCCCCCCGCCGGGAAACCAGTATTTTTTAATTTCGATTTTTACAGTTTTTACCTCGCAGATGCTCCGGATTAACCCCATAACCCCGGCAACTACGCTAAACCAGCACAGACAGATTGGTGATGCCCACTATGCCTGTAGAAGGTTGGAAGATTGCTTTCAACAGATGAGAGCAAGGTGATGCGAGGAAGCAACGAGATCATCAGTACTTTCTTGCTCACACAAAAATCGAGCAGCAATTATGCGTTTTTAGATATTTATTTTTCGTGAGGTCTCAATTTCGTGGTGAGACCTTCATGTTAGCTTTAACTGTTCAAGTCCTTCTGCGCTTTCCAGGTGCGGGTTGATCTCCGTGACATCTTGGGACAGCCGGTGGTGGGAGGCGCCCAATTCCGTTTAGCATGACGTGTGACTTGTACTAGTGTAAAGCACTCTGTGCCGTACTGGGTGCTTTGTGTAGTCTCTATTTTTTGTGTTTCTTTTTTCTGATTGTTTCTATTTAATTCTTGTTACTACTAGCGTCCTTGTTACTACTAGTAAGGCACTTGTTACTAGAAGCGATGCACTTGTTCCTAGTAGCGAACATCGTTTCTGATTGTGTTGAGGCAGCATGTTGGGCAGCGTAAGCGCTCGCTTGTTCACCATGAAGGGCGTCAAGGAGATGGATTTGCCGGTGCGTTGGGATCCTGCAAGGCTGGAGAAAGACTGAAGGCATCGCTACTAGCAACCAGTGCATTGCTAGGAGCAAGGGCCTTACTAGTAGTAACAATGTTTGCTATTAGAAACAAGAATTAAATAGAAACACTGTTTGCTACTAGGAACAAGTGCATCGCTACTAGTAACCAGTGCATTACTACTATAACAAGAAGCTACTAGAGAAGCTTGCAGTGTTCTCGTAGAGAGTTCTCGGAGAGGGTTCTCAGAGATTTCTCGCTGGGAAGTTCTTGTCCTTTCCACAGCCTCAGGGGTTTCTATGCAGCTTCTTGGACACCTTTGCCACCAGATCCAATCTTCCAAGATGATGTGAGCACCGGACGATACTACAGGCGAGGAACTGGATTCATTTGAGAGCGTGATGCTGCAACCTGGAGCGCGTTTTCTCTTTTTTAACGGCTGCCTTCATACCGAGCGGAGCAAACCTTTCTCCAAACAAAGCGCCTACTTTTTCGACTGAAGCAATATACGGCCCCCGGGCACCCCACGGGTTTGTGGTGCATCTTTTCTGAACGCAGAACTCTTTTTTCGGATCCACTCGTCGGTGAACGACCACTGCGATGCAATGCGTGCAGGCAACTCATTGTTCGCCTGGATGGCAATCAGATCATCAACTCTCCGATGCCGGTGCGATTCCGATTGCGATTTCTGGGAGCAAGAATTAGACCCAGTGATCGTCTTCTAGTCACAAATTATGTTATCCAACCATCCGGCTGCTATGCAAATAAAGCCAAGAATGTTTGAGCTGTGACAAACCAACCAATACAAGACCCGTGAGACTCTACAGTCATTCCAGAAGTTTGCTGAGTGGGCACTTTTGGTGGATTTCTTGGTGACTTTCACTTTCGGTGACTCTTTAACCTTTGTTTTTTACATGTAAAGTTTGGGATCCTTTCAGGTTTGAGGTTTGACCCTTTTTGGCGCACTCGGAGGTGACTATCCTCTTGGCGATCTCAGATCCCTCTCAGTCCTTCGTCATGGCAGGTGGGCGACCGCACCAACCATGGAGCGAACCGACACGTTTTCAAAACGAGTGTGTTGACGTGAGGGTTATGTGGGTCGTTTGTAGGATCGTGTTCGGTATGACAGTTGTTGTGTGGAAACTCTGAGACTGTGAATACTGCCTTTTCAGGATTCCAAAGTTCTGTTGAATACCATCCATTCCGATGTGGCAGTAGCACACCATTGATGTCCGGCAAAGAATCCATGGTTTATCCCTTTCTTTGTTGCTTTGCATTTTTGCTTTAGATGTTTTTAGATGTTTTTAGTAGTAACGCTACTAGTAACAAAGGGCATCGCTACTAGGAGCAAGAAGCTACTAAGGGCGCTCCTGGCCTTACTACTAGTAACAAGAAGCTACTAGGAGCAAGGGCATTACTACTACTAGCATTCTTGCTAGTAACAATAAAGCTATTAGGGGCTCCTGGCCTTTCTACGGGGAGCAAGGACGCTACTAGGGGCTCCTGGCATGGCTACTAGGCATTCTTGCTAGTAACAAGAGGACGCTTTTGTTTGTACGATCGCTTCAGGTGACTACACGATCGCCAAGGCTGGAGAGCCGGTCTGGTACCAGGTGCGCTCCGCCACCTTGGCAGGGCGCCTTCGTGTGACTGGTGGCGATGTCTACGAAGTGCTCTTCGAGGCGGAAGTGTCTTTCTTTCCTTCTTTCTTCTAGTAGCTTCTTGCTACTAGTAGTAATGTGTTTTTTTCTGAATAGTTCTTTCTTCATGCACTTCACTGTAGAACGCACAAGAACCGACGTGGCGTTCTGGTGCGTTCTGTTACGTCTCCGCATTTGAACCCGACAGGGGCCGGCGCACGATCCGTTGATGGGAGATGATCGATTTGATGGTGACCCCGAAGAAGCCGCCAGAAACTGTGAATGTGTGAATCATGGACCATGTATGGCCAGGGAGACATATTCGGCATTTTATAAATGGACTGCGCACTGATAAGCTCATCACTTACTACTTGCAACTCGTGCAACGAATTTGTTGGCTACCTACCACAACGCTCCTACATCCTCTTAAAAGGAGTCCTGGGAACCAGGTACAGTGATCGACAATTTGAATGGCTCTTACACCGTCAACTTTGAGATCCAAAGGCCACCTGCGAAGCTTGAGCTAGCCAAGCGTGGTTTCGCCTCTGTTGAATACTTTGGCCTACTAGAAGCACACAGAAGCATCAGTGCGAAGGTACGGAAGGCAGGTAGCGAAGCTGAACAATATTTGGTTGATGGAAACCCAATTTGGAGAGCGTGTCCGTTTCTTGTGGAAGGACACACGACATCATACAACCGTTTTTGAAGTTTCTAGCTGGCAGGCCAGGGTACTATAACATGCGTGTGTTCTTGAACACCGTCGAGCACCTCGGCATCGGCAAAGAAGTCAACCACTGCACATGATCATTACATTTATTACAGTGTCTTACAGTGTCGCCATTCAGTCAAAGACATTTATTTGGGGCACTGAAACATTTGGTGTGTCGAGGATCGGGCCGTCGCCCTTCTTGGGCGTTCTCATTTGGGATGACCTCTCAGCGCCATTGACCACGGCCTTTGGCCCAGGCACGAAGAGCACATTCTCGACTTGTGCTAAAAGTTGATTGTCTGTGCCTGTGCAGCCTGACAAAGTCCCAGGAGCAGTGGAACGGACCAACTTCATCCAACTTTGCCATATTCCGCGTTTGGCTTCATGAGTTTGCCTAATGCTGTAGGTCCACCATGATAAGCTTAAGTCTTTGGGATTCGAATCGAGCACCGGCAAGGCATCAGCCCTGCGCAGAATGTGCCCGGCAATCCTGCGCGGATCATTGCAGGCTGAACTTGGATTCATAAACTTTTGACCTTATGGGGCAACTTCATCCACTTCTGTTGCCCCATAACACACCCTGCGGGGTATGCGCGTCACGGGCCACCTCAGACAACCCCAGTGGGTAAAGCATCTCTGACAAGGGTGGGGTCTTTCAAAGTATAGTATAGTTGATACAAAGAAGTCACTTTTCCAATCCTTTCCCAAAAAGCAACATGACTCACCACTGGTGGCACTTGCCGACAGGTGTGAACACCTCTTTTGCTCCTCAGCCGCAAGAAGGGTCTCGACAGCTACAGAGGCGCAACAGTCAACTCGTTGGCAAATTGCTGGTGCCATCGACGCCTTCGGAATACCTTCATGCAAAGCGGAGTGCTATGCCTGAATGCAATTTACAAATGATTGAACAGCCTCCAACTAAAAGCAAAAGGATGCAAAAGGAACCTAATAGCGATGGCCTCCATTCGTTTGAAGCTGAGGACATCAGTGCAAAAGATTCCTATGATGTGCAATATTTCCGTGGCGGAGGAATGTTTCGACTCTCCACGCCCGTGATGAGCCTTGGAGTCGACTTCGGCGCTCATGGGTCTCCACACTGCCAAATTTGTTCGCCTTAGACATCTTAGACATGACATTGTAAGGCCAGGAGCCCCTAGTAGCGTCCTTGCTCCTAGCAGCGATGC